ATACCTGGACTAGGTGTGAGGGGTAGAAGGCAGCCTGGAGCTCTGGGTGATCTCTTGCTGCTTTGGGGACCCATGGAGAGGAGGGCCTCCCTCAGGTTTGGGGAGCCTCTGTCCATTTGAGTAGTCTTCATCTTCAACTTCACCCTCACCCTCAGCCTGAGGGTCCCCACACTGGCCCCCCTGAGTGCATCTTCTCTGTGCTGGACCAATGTGACACCTCCTGCCAGAGTCCCTAGGCAGCTGGGCAGCTCCTGTGGGCCCATCTGGCAGCCTGGAGCCAGACAGTTGAAGAATGCCTGTCACCCCAGTGTGGATCTACTCTGCTAAAGGTCAAGAACACCCCTTGGCCATGTCCCCTTCCCCCCCCCCGTGTGAGCTCCCCTTCTCTAGAGTGTTCCCCAGCCTGACCTGTCACTGTGCTCCTCTTTGTTCTCCCAGCCTCTGTGCCAGTGATACACCACACTCTGCCTACCCTCGTGGCTCCCTCTTGTGTCCTCCTGCAGTGACCTGGGTCCCTTGGTACCTCTGGGCCCCACCGCTCCCTTTGGGCCTGGCTTGCTGGCTGGTCTCTGGGCACCTTGTCTTCCTCTCCTCATTTTTGCCTTACTATTCCCAGGGGAGGGGCTGGCTCCCCTTTACCTGTGCAGAAAGGATGCATACGGCAGGAGGCGGCTCCCGCTGAGCAGGCTGCTGCTGTACCTCGTCCCTGGACCCCGTACTCCCCTCCTTCCTCCTTCCACCCCTCGGAGTTCCAGGAGAGTCTTATCAGAGACTGGTCCTGCCTCATGGGCCTGGTGCCACCACTCCATGCTGGCCCCATGCTGGGGACTCGGCAGTGAATGAGCTCACCTAACACCCTCTGGGCTGATGCCAAAGCTCAAAGACATGAAGCCACTTGTCCAGGACTGAGCTGGGATTCAAACCCAGATCTGAGTGACTGTCAAGACCTTTTAATTCTCTTTCTCTTTTTCTTTTGGGGATTGAACTCAGGGCCTTTGCACTGAGCTACATTTCCAACCCTTTAACATTTTTTAAAATTCTGAAATGGTCGGCCCTAAGTTGCCCAACTGAGCTTGAACTTGCCTACTCCTGCCTTAGCCTCCCACACTGGCGGGACTACAGGCATGCACCACCGCTGCCAGCTACACTCCTAGACTGTCTCATGGTGGTTCTCTGAAAAGCAGGGAGGGAGACCAGTCTCAGGAGCAAGAGTGATCTAGGCATATCCAGAAGCTAGAGGCTGGCAGTGACCACTTACCTGGCAGGTGCATGCCAAGTTTTCATTCTCAGGGATTTTCAAAGGAAAAGCATAGGTCACATCTAACCTCTGGATCACCTGGCTGTTTTCTTCCCAGGATGGGGTGGCCTGAACCAGCATCTTCTCTGTGCTGGACCAATGTGAACAACTCCTGCCAGAGTCCCTAGGCAGCTGGGCAGCTCCTGTGGGCCCAGTTTTCATTCTCAGTATCACTGGCACAGAGGCTGGGAGAACAAAGAGGAGCACAGTGACAGGTCAGGCTGGGGAACACTCTAGAGAAGGGGAGCTCACATGGGGGGGGGGACATGGCCGAGGGGTGTTCTGTGTAGGATGAAGCTGGGTGAGCCGTGCACCCTGAACCTCTGCTCAGTGTACCCACAGGACATTGTGTCCTGAAAATGGCCCAGTGTTTTTCCAGGAGCTGTTTTTGGTGAGAAATCACACTTGAGCTCCAAACCCTCCTTCCTCTTGGAAGATGTTGGTCAGAGCGAGAGGAGAGCATTTGCATTTCCAGATGGAATTTTCCAGCACAAGGCAGACACATAGCCCTGGATCCTCAGCCGAGAGCTTTGTTTGCTGGAACTTACTGTCATGGGACTTGTCCTTCAGAGCAGCATATGGGAGGCAAAATAACACAGAGACTGTTGGCTCCCCCATCTGTAATGTCTGTGATTGGATTCTGGCTTTAAAGTGTGTAGGCAAGAAGGTGGTGGCCTCTCCAAGGTTCAGGTGGCATAGATTTATGTCATCACAGAAATCTAACAATGAGGCCGCTTTTGTGAGAAGTTACCTTTTTGAGATTTTTAAGCGGTTATTTTTTTTTTCTTGCTTTTCCAAAAATAAGGCAGTTGTGACCTTTAGTTCAGAATTCCAGCCAAGGAAATACTTGCACACACAAGCAGTATGGCTGCCCATTTTAACCTGGCAATGTCTTTGTATACCTCTCTCTCCGCTCCCGCAGTCCCCAGCACCCCCGTTCTGAGCCAACAGTCTCTGTGTTATTTTGCCTCCCATTCTGTGCCAGGCCTGCTTTCCAGACACAGGGATTGGCATGTGGCCCAAGGCCAACCACTCAGAGTCTCAGCTCTGGTCCTGTGATTGGTCTAAGGACATGATGGAGCTGGACCAATGAGAGACCATCATAATCTATGACGAACACAGCTGGCCAGGGCTAGCAACTCCCTCTGAGACCTGGGCTTCCATTCTGGTCAAGAGGCTGTGAGAAAGAAGTAGACTCAAAGAGAGAGAGAAAGAGAGAGGGAAAGGGAGAGGGAGAGGGAGAGTGTTTAGGTCCTTGGTACCAATTCCTGAGAGGTCATCTCTACTGTATCCTTCCCCTGCTTTGGATATGTGACTCTTTTGGAGTTGAGTTTCGGTATCTGCAATTGAAAATGACTATAGTAGGTCTGAAATATTTTCACAAATACACCACCATGGGAAATCTAATTTCCTGCCCTTTGAGGTACGGGCAGACTTAGTGACTCACCCTGCCTCTGAGGTATGTGGAAATGGTGATGTATGACATTGAGTTTGGTTATAACAGGTTTGTGGCTGTATCTTGCTCTGTCTTGGAAGGCAGCTGCTGTGCCATGTGCTCAGGCAGCCCTGTGGATAGGTCGAGGTGACGAGGACATGAGGTCTCTTGACCGAGCCAGCACAGCCTCACCATCCATGTGTGTGAACCATCTTGGAAGCAGATCCTCCAGCCCTGGTCGTCTTCAGATGGTGGCAGCTGCAGTCACCATTGGATAGAAACTTCTAAGAGAGCCTGGCAGGAACCAGGTTCACAAAATAAAGTGGACCCTGCGTGTTAGAGGGCTGTTTACCAGAATCTGAGGTACACGGTCTTCTCTGGATGCCCAGGGCAGGTGTTCAGCATTGCTTGGGACGAAGATCCCACCCCTCCAAACAAGAGTTCTACTTTTAAGGATGGTGACTGTGAACCGGTGTGGACAGAAGAACAGTGGTGCACACTCCAGTAACTATTAATCAATTGCAGTAATCAGCTTTTTCACTTTAGCTCACTTCTGTCAGGAAGGTAAGAAGTACATTAGTGAGGAGGGCAGGTGCTGGGCTCTCCTCAGTTTTAGTCCTGCGATCTTAGCACAGCACCTGGCACACCATCAAACGTGTTCAATAAGTGGCTGAAAGCAATTTTTGTAAAAATGCGGTCTCGAAGCTCTCATCACCACCGTTAGCCCTGGTGCTGTCTCAATACCTTGAGAAATCAATATCTTTTTTGTTGCCATATATTTTGCACAAGTGAGGAAATGAGCACCATCTGCCTGTGCAGTGCATTCTCTCACTTAACAGCAAGAGGGGAAAATGTGGTGAACTGACCTTGGGTAAAACTTGACATTTTCAGCCAAGTCATCCTTTCATCACTGTGTCAAACATGGAACAAAGGAAAATGATATTGCAACTTTCCTCTCCCAGGAAAGTTTTTCAAGCCATATTTCTTTTTCAATTTTGAAAATCAACATATTATTTAAGAATGAGAACCCAATGATTGTTTTAATCACACAGAACAGACAAGCCCTCCATACGTGCTTCTTCTGCTTCAAGTGTGTACTGGGGTTTTTCACAGACACAGAATCAGCAGAATCAGCAGCAGGAAAGCTGGTGGAGCTCGAGGGCTGGAGAGTGGTGGTGCTGATCCCAGTGTGGGTCTGAGAGCCTGAGGACCAGCAGTGCTGACAATATAAATCCCCGACTGGAGTCAAGGAAAGACTGAGGTCCCAGCTAACGTAGGCCAGGCAGAGAGAGAATTCAAACTTCTTGTTCTGCTCAGGCCCCACATGGATTGGACAATACCCACTATATGAATCTGTTTCCTGTTACTACCACAAAGTACCTGGCACTGGGCAGTGTGAGAGGAATAGCACATAGTTTTGAAGCTGAAAGTCTGAACAGCATGGTGTTGGCTCTGGTAAGGGTCCCCTTGGCTGCCATCACATCATGGCAGATGGCATCACAACAGTGGGAAATGGTGTTGGAGAGATCATGTGGCAAGATAGGAAGCTCGAGAGAGTGGAGAGGTTAGGTTACTCTTTGACAACAATACTCTCATAAGAACTAGCCAGGATCCCACCAGAGCTATACCAATTCCTCCCAAAGGTAATACCTTTGATGAGCTAGTTATTTCCCATGATGCTCCATGTCTTAGAGGTTCCAAACTATCTTCTGCCACCACCACACTGAGAACCAAGCTCCCAGCTCACAAAGCCCTGGGGAACACACTCAAATCGTATCCCAACCAGTGTTTGTATTTCACCAATTCAATTGCGTATGTCTCTGGGAGGACCCTCGCAGATATCCCTGGAGATGATGTTTCCCCAGCTACCTGGGCATCCCTTAGCTGAATCACGTTGACACATAACACCAGCCAACCCAAGTGCATCATAGTGGCACACACCTGTAATCTTAGCATTTGGGAGGCTGAGGCAAGGGGATGCTGAGTTCAAGGCTAATCTTGAGAAGACTTGTTTCAAAAAAGTCAAAAGTATAAATAAATAAATATATCCAAAAAGGTTTTATAATTTTCTGTTTTGTGTAGAAGAGATAATCCATGTTACCTTCTGTTTTTCATTTCCACCTTCCGCTGTTTTCTTCTAGATCTCTGTCTCTACCACATACCTCATGTTCCCACCACTGGAATGTCTGTCCTCCCTGCATGGCATTCCTGTGCCTCTCTGTCATAGCTACTTTTCTTGTTGCTGGAAAAAATACCCATCACCCAGAGTTAAAGGGAAAAGATTTATTTAGCCCACATTTTTGTAGAGGTTTCAGTTCATAATCAACCGGATGCAAGGCAGGGTGGCTCACGGTAGAGAGACACTGCAGTGGAGAAATAGTTTGTGGTGGGCAGAAGATAACAAAGCAACAAGGGATGACTGCAAATCTTTCTCTCTCTTTCTTTTATCTTTTTTTTTGCTACACTGTTACTATGTCATGTAGACTGGTCTTGAACTCACTTATGTAGCCCAGGTTGGCCTCGAACTCATGGTGATCCTCCTGCCTCAGCCTCCTGAGTGTTGGGATTATAAGCACGTGCCACCAGGCCTGGCAGACCACAGCTCTTTCTATCCCTTGTATCTTCTCCAGGCTGCTTCAGGCAGGTAGCACTCACACCCTTAATCCTAATGTCCTTCACCCTAGCATTGCACCTTGAATCAATCCCAGCACCATGTACTCTAGATCCAGCCCCCTCTGAAAAAGCCCCACCTCTGACTGCATGAAGCTTTGGGGGTATGTCTAGACACAAAGCACAACACTCTCTTTCTTGGGCCACATCGCTTGCCTCCCCAGAGAAGTGCTTCTCACCCTGTCCTGATGCCTTTAGAGCTGGGCCCTTCCTTGTGTGTCTCTGGAGGGCTGACTCCTCAGTTGACATTGGCCTGAGCTGTTTTGCTGAAATGGGAGATGAACAATGTTACTCCAAAACCTGGTGGGGTACATGGCAGCTCCCAAAGCAATCTCTGTGTATCCCCTTCCATGCAGCACAGCACTGTGCAGGCCTCAGTGTTTCAGAAGTGTCTGGTGTATTGTCCACATCCCCATTACATGACTGCAAACCTTTTGAGGGAAAAGACTGCTTCTTTTTCTTTTCCTACTTCTTAATTGATCTATAACTTATGTGTGATCAGTACCTTTATTTTAAACATCTATTGTATAGCTCACTAAATGTTGACATGTGCATGCCTGGGTCTGATATCCCTGCACACCTGCTGTTATGGTTTAGATCTAAAATTACATCCAAATTCTCAAGTGTGTGAAAGGTGATGGATCATGCAGTGTAATACTCACCTGTGGATTCATGCAGAGATGGGCTGAGGAGCAGAGTGTGCTGTCAGAGGAGAGGCCTGCTTGGAGGCAGGTCACTAGGATGTCACCTGGGAGAGTGTGTTCTTGTTCCTGGCTCCTCCCTTCTCTCTCACTTCCTGGCTGTCATTGGATGAGCAGGTTCCTTCTGCCCGGGCCCTTCTGCCGTGCTATTTCTGCCTTGGCGCTGCCAACTATGGTCTGCAAACATGAGCCAAATCAACCTCTGCTCCTTTCAGTTATGGGTGTCAGGTCTCATCCTTGTCCCAAGGAGGAGAAAGTGACTAAGATACCTGTGTAACCACAGCCAAAATTAGCTCTGGGACATTTCCTCCCCAACTTCCTGAAGGAGAGAGTGACTATTTGCTGTAATCATAAGATCTAAGAAAGCCTAAAATTGATGTAATCATGTTTGTTCTTTGCTATATAGCAAACCACTCTCATGTTTTGTTCACTTAAAGAACACACACTTCTCCTTTCTCCTGGTTCAGCTCAGAGGCTCTTCAGTCTGGGCAGCTGGGCTGTGGATGGCTTGGCTGCATTCCCTGTCACACTGGGCCTCCGCTCACCTGGCTGGGAGTCTTTGCACCCAGCCCCTCATTCTCCTGGAAGCCAGCCTGCGTTCCACCCATGCGGGCCTCAGGGCATAGCGCTTTCCCTTTTTGCTACTATTGTACAGGCTGAAGCAAGTCACACGGCCAAGCCAGGTTCCAGAGGTCCATAAATACTTAACCTCTCTGTGTGAGGGCAAGACAGTTATGGTGGGAGGCCTGCGCACAGCAGTGGGGAGAATTTGTGGTCAGTTGCAAATGGCCACTGATGTTTTTCCAGCAAAAGGTAGCAGAACAGAGATGTAAACAGGCCAAGAAGTGAGTCAGGGCTGGGAGTGCTGTTCAGAGGTTCGTGTTTGCCTAGCGGGCATGAGGGCCTGGGTTTCAGCTCCAGCACTACAGAGCGAACAGCCCCCTCCTGAAAAAACAAAAACAAAAACGAAGAGGCAGATCAGTGTAGATAGTTTTTAGGGTAACTAAAAGACGGTCATGTAAAGTAGTAGAAAGGAAAAACAAAACGACATAATTAATGTCAAATCAGGCAGAAAAGAAAGCAAAGAGAACAGGCAGGATAGTAAAAATAAAACAATTTGACACACAAATGTTAGCAATTAAATTAATGCAAATAAACTACATATCAATAAACTGCTGAACTGATATTTTTTCAATTTTGTAATTGCGATTTTATCAATTTAACCGTGTGTGTGTGTGTGTGTGTGTGTGTGTGTGTGTGTGTGTGTGTGTTTGAGGCAGGATCTTGCTATGTTTTCCAGGCTGGCCTTGCACTCACAGTAATCCTCCTGCCTTGGCCTCACAAATGCTGGGATTACGGGCATGTGCCACCCCATCTAGCTATTTTATTCATTGCTAAGAGTACAGGCCAGCGATATGAACATTACATTGTAATGTTGTTACCAGTTTCTGGTGGTCTGGGATGTCCTTCTAGGGGTGTTTTCTAGGCTCTTTTTGTACTGAACAAAGAACAAGACGAGTGCAAAAAGGTACCAAGATTTTACATTTATTAAAGGTAAGAAAGGAAATATACTCTGAAGAGCCAATGCAAGCCAATAAAAGTAGGAAAAGAAGTGCACTGTACAGGAAGGAGCCAGCCACTGTGAAAGAGAGAGCGCAGTCACCAAAAGCATGACAGACATCTTTTGTATCCGCTGCCCCTCAAGCTGATGTCAGATCTATGCCATTCTATCAAAAACTAGCTTGATTTCTGGCAAGAAGAGCCGAAGATCACATTCTGATTGGTCCCAGGTTCAGGGCTTTGGGACCCATTTTTGCATGAATTTCCTCAATCTCGGGATCGTGCTTCCTTGCTCAGCCAGTTCGCCCTGCCCTAATCTCCTGCCTCAATTCTGTTCCACTGTCACCACCAGCAGTACCCATGACTCACTTATTACTTATTTATTTGTTTTTCGCCTTACTGAGGGTTGAACCTAGGGGCTCACACATGCTCAGAAAACTCTCTGCCACTAAGCTGCACCCCAAGCTGTTTGTTTTTTTATTTTGAGACAGAGTCCCAGTAAATTGCCCAAACTGGGCTGGAACTTGAGATTATTCTGCCTCAGCTCCCAGAGTGCTAAGATTACAGGTGGGTACTACTATGCCTGGCTCTATGACTCCTTTTATCTCATAAAACTGAAACCCAGAACAAAGCAAAACAACAACAACAAAAAACTGAAACCCAGTCCCCTTTAAAGAATTCCCCATTCTTACTTCCCCTAGCCACCAGCAACCCCTATCCTATCTGCTTTGTGATTTTGACTACTTCAGGGACCTCACGTAAGTGGATTTTTTTTTTTAATCAGTATTGGGGATTGACCACGGTACTTGTAAGCATAAACATGTGCTTGCAAGGCAGGCGCTTATGCCACTGAGCTAAATTTCCAGCTCCAATAAGTGAATTCTTACAACACTTATTTTTTTCTGACTTGGCATCATGTCTTTAAGTTTTATCTCTGTTGTATCTCTGTGTCAGAATTCCCTTCTCCTAAGGGTTTTTTTTTTAGACATGGTCTCACTCAGTAGTCCAGGTTGGCCTCAGACTTGAAGCAATCCTCCTGCCTCAGCCTCCCCCAAGTGTTGGGATTACAGACATGCACCACCACAACTGGCTTTTCCTGAGATTTTAACACAGATGTAAAGATAATCTAATGGAAGAAGGACAGTTTTTCTAATGAAAACAGCTGGAGTAATAAGACTGTCATAAACTAGCAGAAAAATGTCAGGTGAAACCTCACATCTTATACAAAAATTAACAGGAAATTCATCATGGACATAAATGTGGAAAATGAAATGATGTATTTTAAGGGAAAAGATGGGAGAAAATGTTCAGAACCTGAGGCCAGGCAAATAAGTCTCTGACTTGACACTAAAAGAATGATCCATAAAATAGGCCTGGTAGCACACACCTGTAATCCCAGTACTCTAGAAGGCCAGGTTCGAGGATCAAAGTTCAATTCCAGTCCAAGCAATTTAGTGAGACCTTGTCTCAAAAAAAAAAAAAAAAAAAAAAGCTAGGGATATAGCTCAGAGGTACAGCACATGTTTGGCAAATGCAAGGTCTTGAGGTCAATTCCTGGTACCCAAAACAAAATAACAACAAAAAAAGATGATCCATAGAAGGAAAAATAATAAACTGTACCTTACAAAATCAAAAACAAGACTGGGCATGGTGGTACATGCTTGTAATCCCAGCACCTTAGAGGCTGAGGCAGAAGGATTGCTGAGAGTTCATGGCCAGCTTGGGCTACATAGTGAGTTCAGGACCAGCCTGAACTACATATATGGCAAGACCCTATCTCAAACAAACAAATGAACACACACACAACAACAACAACAAAAAAATCCCCTGAAAACATGTTCCGCAAAACACTATGTTAAGAGGATGAAAAGACAAGATACGAATGGGAGAGATTATTTGCAAACCTTTTATCTAATGAAGGACTATTCCTAGAATAGAGTGGTCCCCCATATATGGTTTTGCTTTTCAAGGTTTCAATTACTCATGGTCTAAAAATGCTAAATAGAAAATATTAGAAATAAATTATTCATAGTTACATTAGACTTCTCTAGAGGAATGAAACTAATACAAAATATATGTATAATTATAATAGAGAATTTATCAGGTAGGCTTGCAGGATCAGAGGCAGAAGAGTTCACAGTGATCATCTGAGCCATGGAGAGCCAGAGGATCCAGCAACTCCTCAGCCCAAGAAGAAGGAAGCCGTAGAACAAGAGAAGTCAAGGATGCAGCATCAGTCAAAGGTCAAAGCCCTGGAAGTTCTGCAGAGTCACCAGTGGGAGCCTGTGTTGGAAGACTGAAGGGTCAGAAGTCAGCCTTCTCAGTGCTGGGATTCTGTGTGAACTGTCACCCCCAGCTCTCTTCTTTCCCTTTTTATTCCATCCAGACTACAAATCTATTGGTTGCTGCTGCCCACATATGGGTGGGCCCTCTTCCTTCAATTTGCTGGCCTACATGTCAATCATCCAAAGACACACTCAGAAAAGTGGTTTATTTATATGCTAGGTGATTCTTATTCAAACTCAAATCAATTTGACATATCACATTAACGGTCACAATTTAAGTGTCTATTACTGTGGGATATCGCTACAATTGTTCAAATTTGTAAAAAAAAAGATATGAAAACATGGTTATATTGGTTTTGGTATTACCGGTGGTTTCAGGCATCCACTGGGGGTGTTAGAATGTATCTCCTGCAAGTAAGGAGGGATAACTTCATGTAAAGAACTCTTAGAACCTCACAGTATAAACCCTCCAAATAATTCTACTTGACAGCAGGTAAGAAACAAGAACATGTATTTGACCAAAGATGATATACAGGTGGAAAATAAGCACATGGAAAGATACCAAGTTCATTAGCCACTAAAGAAGTGCAAATTAGAACCACAATGAGATATCACTATACACTTGATCAGATTTTAAAAATTGTGACACTACCAAATGCTGGCAAGGATTCAAAGACACAGGAAACATTTACTCTGGAAAACAGTTTGACAGTTTCTTATAAAATGAAACATACAGATTGCCATTCTACCAGGAACTGCACTATTGGACATTTAGTCCAAAGAAGTACAAACTTATATTAAAAAAGAAGTAGAAATTTATGTTTGCATATGAAAACTTTTATATGAATGTTCATAGCAATTTAAAATTTTCCTAGGAACTGTGGATGTAGCTCAGTGATACAGAGTGTGCCTAGAATCAGTCAGACCCTGGGCTCCATCCCCAGCACCACTATATATGTATGTGGGGTCCTTGTGACAAAACTGTTGAATACCTTGGCTGTGATTGTGGTGATGAACATTCAAACCTATTTGGTTTCATACCAGTTTTACCAGGTGTGGTGGTGCACTCTTGTAATCCCAGGACTAGGAGGCTGAGGCAGGAAGGTTGCTGTAAATTCAAGGCCAATCTGGGCTACAAAGTGTGTGCAGGGCCAGCCTGAACTGCATAGTGAAACCCTGTCTCAAAAAGGCAAAAAAAAAAAAAAGTCATACCAGTTTGGTTCATAATAGTCTCAAAGCAGCAGCCACCTTTAGTAGGTGGTGGTTATAAATTCATACCATGGGCTACTACTCAGTAATAAACAGGAACAGCAGCTGCCAGAGTGAATCTCTGGAGAATTATGATGAGTGGAAAAAAGGTGAATCCTCAAAGGCTCCATGCTGTAAGATTTCATTTATATAGCACTCTTGAAATGACAAAATTACAGAAATGCAGAATAGATTAATGATTGCAAGAGATGAAGACGACAGATGAGGAACGGAGTGGGTGTGATTCCTAGCAGATGACACAAGGGATCCTCGTGACAAAGCTGTGAGCACCTTGACTGTGATGGTGGACATTCGAACCTATGCAAGTGACTAGGTGACACAGACTTAAGCACACACACAGACACAGGCTGATGAGTACACCAGTGCAATCAAACTCAAGGAAACCTGAGCAAGATCAATACCTGACCTTCAGATCAGTGTCAGTATCTTGGCTGTGACATGGTGCCACAGGTTTGTAAGATGTTATGTTATCTCAAAATAAAATACTAAAGTAAGTAGATGTAAATGCTCTTGTTAAAAAAGATAGAGGATAAGCTGAGTGTGTTGGCATATGCCTGCAGTTCCAGCACTTGGGAGGCTGAGGCAGGAGATCGCTGGGAGGTAAGCCCAGCCTGGGCTACATAGGGAGTTCGAGGCCAGCCTGAACCACACAGTGGGACCCTGCCTCAAAACAAAACAAACAAAAAGCCTGCCACAAAAACAAAAAGCAGTAACAACAACAACAATTAAAAAATGATAAGGAATATCAGAATGAAAAACAAAAGAAGATCAAACAGGATTATATTACAAGGAGTGCATTTAAAGAATAAGAATAAATAGTAAGGTCAAAATAGAAGGATGGAAGAGTGTAAGCACACCTACTGTCCAGGCAGCAACCGAAGAAAGTCAGGGCTTCTGGATTAACTGCAAGCCAATGGCATCTGAAAGCAAACAATAACCACCATGACAGAAAAACAAAAACAGAAGACAAAACAAGAGCCCCTTAAAATATAGAGGGAAATTTGTTCATAGGAAAAATGTTCACTACTTAACAGGAAGGTATAAAAATTATAAATTGTATGCATCTAATAACATGGTCTTGAGCTACCTATCTACATATGTATGTATATTAACACAACTCAACGTGATGGTGTTACATTGAGATACAGACAGCCTGGTGATCATTTTTTGTCTGCTCATGTGTACACACAAGTGCACAAGTGAATCTGCATATTTGCCAGTCTGGTATATATTTTTTCCCAGGCCATAGTGGGATGTTCTGACACTTGACCAGTGGTTGACAGAATACTTGTAAGAATGATACTGACTGAATCATGGGAGTGCCCTATTTATTGGTGGATTAATCTATTGATGGGTTTATAGCTGGGTGTGCTCTTAGGAGATGGGACCTGGTTGGAGGTGGGTCCCTGGTGGTGTGACCTGAAAGGAAGCGTTCTTATTCCAGGCTCTGGTCTTTGTTTTCTGCTTCCTGGCCACCATGGCACGAGCACCTTTATTCCATCTCTTCTCGTCTCACCATTTCTGCCTTGAAGGATGCTAACCATGGACTGAACATACTGAAACTATGAGCCAAAATAAACCACTTCCTGAAGTTTCAAGTGTCAGGTATTTTGTCCCAGTGATGGGAAAGCTTGCTAATACAATGACCTGGTTAAACTGACACATAGTTACCATCACAAAGCTATAACTGTAATGGAGCTTCTATAGATACTGCAACAGTTTTTCAGCGGGGTTGAGCCATTGTAACACTCTTGCTAGTAACCTGTGAGAGTTTCTAGTTGCTCTACATCCTTGTTAACACTTAGAATTGTTCATGTTTTATATTTTTTTCTAGTGTTTAGCAAGTTGTTTATTTTTATTTATTTGTGCTAGGGTTTGAGCCTAAGGTTTTGTAAATCTAGGAAGTGTTCTACCACTGAGCTACACTCTCAGCCCTCACTGTGGCTTAAATTTGCTTTTCCCTGAAAGTGCTCTAAATGATATAACTGCATGTATATTTAAGTGTATAAGATAGATAATGATATTACTGAGTTTTGTTGGATCATTGAACAAAACGGTTTGCAGTCTCACTGTTTGAATGTCCACTTTATATGCTTTAATTTTGTAACTTGAACAAATATTTCTAAGATGACAATATGTAACCTATCAACTAGTGATTTCCTACTGCTTATTTTTTTCTGAAATTCTGTATAACTTGTACCCTTTTTCTCCTTAAATAAAAATTTTTTTAAAATTTGCTTTTCCCTGATCACTAATCCTGCTGAACACCTTTTATTATGATTAGGGTTGCTAAAACTAGCACATAAATAATCTTAAGACACACACTTTTTTATGTTGAAGGTAGGGCTAAAAATGTGGCTGTCAATAGCCTAGTAAGTGTCTTTCTTTTCAAAGACTAAATTTTCAACATGTACTTAGGCTGGCTGAGAAGAAGAAGAAGAATCAATGAGAATAAGACTAAGAATGATAATAACAGGATCATCTACAGAAACAGGTTCATTTTAGGGGTTGAAAAAACCCACCCCTCAGTTGTCTCCTCCTTTTCTGTAGTTCCTGCCCTTGTATCTGGTTATTGATTAATTATATAAGGTCATTGGAGTCACAGAGTCCCCAGCTAACAGTATCTGAAACAAGCAGAAAGTTTTCTTCATCAGTGACAAGCCCAGGGTCATATGGATGGGCTGGTGTGCACTCTCCATGGTGTTAGGGACCCAGGTCCCTTCCTACTGTTCCTATCATACCAAGAGTGACCTTCCTGTCCCATCCTTGTTTTAACATGGGAGGGGGTGCTCTGAACAACCTTTCCTCGTTTCATGGCCCAGTAAATAGAGATAGACGGAGTGTTTGCTGACACTGTGGTTTTTCAACTTGCAGGGTAACATTCCCACCAGCAGTGCTTGAGAGTTCTAGTTGTATTATCTCCTTTTAACAGTTTGTCCTGCTACTTTTCTCTTGTTGCTGAGACAAAATATCTGATACCCAAAATTAAGGCGGGAAAGGTTTATTTAGCTCACAGTTTGTGGAGGTTTCAGTCTGTAATCAGTGGGTTCCAAGGCAGGGTGGCTTGGCACAGGGGCAACAATTCAAGGTGGCAGAGGACAGCAGAAGCAGCAAGACCAAAAGGAGGCAGAACAAGTCGGGCGTGGTGGCACACACCTGTAATCCCAGCACTGGGAGGCGGAGGCAGGAGGATCATTGCAAGTTTGACATCAGCCTGGGCTACAAAGGGAGCTCAAGGTTAGCCTAAAAGCATAGTGAGACTCTATCTCAAAAATCAAAAAGAAAGAAAGAAAAAAAAGAGATGGGGTAGAAAACAAGCCTCTTCTCTTCCCTTATATAGTAAGCAATCTACCACTACCACCCGCCCCCCCAGGGTGGGTGTAGCACCCACACCACCTCTGTGCCCTCTTCTTCCACAGAATGAGGGTGTTTACAAAATAAGAACTCTGGCTCCCTGATGAGTCATGTAGTTAAACTTTTAAACTTTTCAAGTTGACACAATGTATCAACCATTACACACTTGGGATTGGTTGCGTTTTAAATTTTTCTAATTAGAGTAGTGTAGCTTTTTTTTCTTAAATCTTTTTTAAAATTTGGAGATAGTGTCACCAAGTTGCCAATGCAGATGACAGAATAAGTCACTTATTCCTGACACTGTGTGGTCAGGAATGTGGTCACTATGTGCAGTTTGGTTTGGAATTTTTTTCTTTTCTTTTTTCTTGAGACAGCGTCTCTCTATGTAGCTCAGGCTGGCCTTGAATTTACAGCAACCCTCCTACCTCAGCCTCTGGAGTGCTGGGACTACAGGCATGCACCAGCACCTCATGCTGGTTTGGAATTTCTGACTCTCAACAGACAGTAACTTTTAGAGATTAAGCACCCGCAAGACTACTCAACAAAGAGAGGCCAAGATCCTCAAGAAGCACTGCTGATAGGATTATTTCCAAAAGATGAAAAGTATTTCCAAAAGATGAGAAGTATAGAACAAAAAGCGGCCTTTATTCTGAGAACACGGAGAGAGATGACTGGCACCCCCCACTGCTGGTGTCCAGCAATCTCTCCCGCGGACACGTGGCGTGGGGGTTTGTAAGTAGCCTCTGTTTGGGGTGGAACCTAAGGGGGCATCAGGGATGCACGGGTAGCCCATTGGTCCTAGGTTTCCCGCCATAGGCAAATTTCCAAGCGCGGGGAAGCCAGTGTCACAGGTAAATTCCCAGGGGCGGGGGAGATAGGGGCTTCCTGGTTCCGGTTACAGTGTTCTGCCTGGGCCAAAAGCCTTTCAGTACTCCAGTGGGATGGCTTTAATGAGAGATAAGTTCATTGACTGCGCTACATTTATTCCAGAGGTGCTTTTGTATACTGACCCTGAGAAACCTCTGCTGGTCTCTGAATAGGTCCAGCTCTGGCTCTTGAGGCTGTGCCACAGACCAGGCAACCCTGACTGGGCAGGGGACGGCGTTCAATGTAGAGCATTTGACCATTGCATGAGGTCTTAGGCCCCATCTCCAGTACCACATGACAAAAACAAAATAGATTCCTGTAATTCTGACTGTTTACTGCTAGTGAGCTGGTCACTTAGCCTGCAAATGCATCCCACACAGCAGGAGGGCAGCCCCTCTCCTAACATTTGCTGTTTTATTTGTGTTAGTTAGGGTGGTTCTGATTGACTCCATTTAAATCCAACTCAGATAAAAATGAATTTAGGGTTCAGCTATGCGGGAGGTGGGGGCTGCTACTGACTTGAGGGACACTAGATCCAGGGTGTCTCCAAGTCTTTCATCATTTCTCTGATGTCAAAGGACAAAAGTACTGGAAATTTAACTTAAACAGGCTTTTTTGGAGGGGTGCTAAGCATTGAACCCAGGGCCTTGGCACTAAGCTACTTCCCCAGCCTATTATATTTTTTATTTTGAGATAATATTTGAGACAAGATTTTTCCAGGCTGGGTCTGAATTTGTAATCCTCCTGCCTCAGCCTTCCAGAGTGCTGGGGTTATAGGTGTGCACTACCATACCCCGCTTAACTGGCTTTTGTTCATGGTTTTAGAACTGTGATTAGAATGAGAGCAGGATCCAAGAACACCCGGGCTGCAAGTGATCAGACAACAAAACTGACTGAAAATGAAATAGTAGCACAGAGGCAGTGTGAGTAGCTGCATTGTTCGGCCCTGTTTGGGTCAGCTGGCCTTCTACCCATTTGCTTGATGTTCAGCTGCTGCAACTGACTGAGATTCAGTATTTTCACTAATTCAGATTGGAGCTCACTACCAAGGATGAGTGTGTGAAGGCCTCCTGGGGCCTGGACTTAATGCAGGGCATCAGTGCTTGTGTTGGCCACCATCTTTTTTTTTTTTTGGTTTTTGTTTTGGCAGCTCTGGGGATTAAAGGCCTCACATTGGCACAACAAGTGCTCCACCACTGGGCTGCCTCCCCAGCAGTCACCACAGTTTGGAGCTCTGGTTTCAGCATGTTATTCACAGGTCTTGAGTCCTTATTAATGAGTGTTTCTAGATTTTTTCGTTATTTCAGCCAGTGAGACAATTTAGTGGCCAGCAAGTGGCTCTGCCGTGGACACTGAAGTCTTTCTGAGAGGGTATGGTGTCCTGGGAATAGGATAATGAACCTCAGGAGAAAGGGATTCCCAAGACTAAAGATACTCCTTAACGGACGTCCTCATGAACCACACTAATCAACACCAAAAGATCGAAGCTCAGGCCATGCGGGTGGTTCAACAGTCTGAGTCCTGCTGGTTGCAGCCTCATTGAGAGAATAATGGGGAGTGGAGACTACGGTTCACCATGAAATGACTGCATTAAAGAGGAGTTTGATTGGCTTTATTTGGCTTTGTGTTGGTGGTACTAGAGATTGAATCCAGAGCCTTTGCCCTGAGCTTTGCCCTGAGCCTAGTCTTTCTTATTTATTTATTTTTATTTTGACACAGTGTCCTGATAAGTTGCTAAGTTGCCCCGGTTGGGGATCAAACTTGAAATTTTCCTGTCTCATCTTCCCAGAGTTCTGGGATTACAGGTGTGCATCACCATGCCTGGCAAGAGCGATTCATTTTTATAATGGCTCGGATAACACAAGTCCCACTAACACAGAGAGTTACTAGAAGTTTATAAAGGTTAGAAAACCTTGGAAAGCCAACTTAGCCATGCACAAACTAGGGTTTTGGGTTTTGTTTTTTGGGTTTTTTTGGTAGGAAAAAGGAAAGATTAGGACAGCAGCCAATGAAGGGCAAACATGAAAAAGAATAAAATTTGTGGGAGTGCAGAGAAATCTTGATCTGTGATCCCAGGAAAGCATGTCTAGGCTGCCACCTAGATTCCCCTCCAGCAGGGGAGAAGGCCCCGCCCTCGAGGGGCCCTTTTGAGTTGTGAGACGCAGACCCAAGAGTCAGGCCTTGACATCCCGGCAGGACAATGGCGAGCTCCACAGTATTCGAGGGCTGCCCTTGTCTTACCCACAGTTCTTTTCCTTAGAAAACCAACACTTCAGGTTCTAGCCTGTAGAGGGCTTGATTTTCCTGAATTGCTGGATCATGAGAAGATTTCTTTTACCTGATAAAGATACACTTTGGTTTCACGCATGAAAGCCTTGTGCTATGGAGTCATTTCAGAGCTTGTAAGAGTGAAAAGTGACATAGCTCAGCAAGTGCAAGGTCCTGGATTCGATTTCCAATACCAAAGGAAAAAAGAGTGGGAGCTACGTGAAGTTCTACTGTTACAGCACTGTTTTTATGGAAAGCTGCTACCTGTCACAGGCTGAATATAAAACATATTATATGCCGAGTGTGCACAAGACCCTGATTCAATCTCCAGCAACAAGCATGGGCACACACATACACACATGCAAATATTACAAGAACCCCTTCAGATCCCACTGCAGGTGGCAAATGAATAAAATCCCTCCATAAATGGTCAAATGGCCCAGCAGGTAGTAGAAATACACCCCCTGAGGTTTTCACTGTCTTCCCTGGATCAAGAATCTGTCAAGACCAACACTGGTTTTAAGTCACATGAGCAACCTTGGAACAGTCACTGAAATAATATCATTTTGTCCACTCCAGTGTGAGTTGTGGAATGATGGACTTTTAATAAGGAAAGTCATCAGGAGTCAAGAAAGTGCCAACACCATCCAGGCCTTCACTCTTACAGTTGGCTTCACGTGCATTTATTTATTAATTTGGGATCAACATCCTTTTCAATACCAATTTTGCATCTCGTCTTCAGGTGCACAGTACTGTGTATTACCTAGGCAGGCAGTTTGACTTGGGTCAAACTTACGGAGTTCATTCAAATTGCATGTTTTAGTAGTTTCAGTTCTGGTTGATTTAGCACAAAAATCTGCCAAAGCATTTCCTTTGTATTTCATTCCTGTTTTGCTAAATGTAGGTTAGCAGTTTATAAAATACTCTTCATAAGACTTCTGGAAATTCTTACCCAGTAAAGTTCAGTGATCTGATTTGAATATTCTCAGAAATCTGTATTTGTCAGTCTTTTCCATGAGTCTCTTGAAGACTAAATAAATACTAAAGACTATCAGATTTGTATAATTTTGACCCAATTTCAAAAACACGTATGAGTACGTACATACAGATATAACTAAAAGAAAGTGTAGCATTATTTATATTTTGAAAAATTTTTTACATTGTATCAAGGTCTACTGGCCCTGAATCAAGGGCGGCAGCTTCCTGACGCTGTTGGTTTCAAGCAGGAGCCTAAAGAGATGTCTTTCTATGGTCTGTTGGCCATTCGGCCCAGGATGGGTGCGTCATGCTGGGGCCTGCAGCGCCGGAGAAACCACACAACCTGTCCTCCCCTGCTTGTTTTGTTTAGCTGAACTTCAATATACATGAAAGTATGGGCAGCTATTTTGAACAGAACAAGAGACTCTATGACAGCCATTAGTGACTTCTCTGTTGTCTGGTCTTGAAGACCTAAATCGCCTTCTTTATTCTGTTTGGATCAGTTTTATACTATGTTGTTTTGTATGAATTCTCTGCATGCAAAGACATGGACAACTATTTGGAAGAAAACAAGAGACAATATGTAGATAGTGAAGATCTCAGGTCGTCTAGCTTTGAAATTTATATCTCTTACATTGCTTTCTTATGGCCTATTTTGTTCCATTTTGTTGTGTTTAATTTTACTCCCTTTAAAATAAAAATAAAAAAAGAAGGGCTTGTTAGTTTAATATCTTTTACAAGATGAGAAACATATCCTTCAAGGATTTCTAGGAGCCAATTGGAAAATCCCAAAGTTAATTCTAGGTCAAAACACTTGATGAAACACACATGCTGGCAAATGCCTGTAGTCCCTGGTATGTGGAAGACAGAGGCAGGAGGACTCAAAATGGGAAGCTAACCTGGGCGATTTGGTGACACCGTCTCCAAATAAATAAAAAAGGACCAGGGATGTAGTTTGGTGTTTCCAGTTTCAGTCTCCAGTATCACAAAATAATGACAACAGCAAACCCCACAAAACAGCAAACAAAAATAACTCCTGAAACCCCCATTTGACCAAAATAGGATAACAAGCCTGGCATGGGGGGTGCACCCCTGTAATCTCGGCACTTGGGAGGCTGAGGCAGGAGGACTGTTGTGAATTCAAGGGTAGCCTGGATTACAAAAAACCAAAAATAAAACAAACAAACAAATGAAACAAAACAACCTCCCTGCAAAAAAACAGGGTAAAAGGCAATATGAAACATTCATCATTTATTTAATCAGAGTGATAAAAACTTAAAAGGCAAATACATAGTTATATAATTGTAGGAAAACAATCTTAGTTTTGTTTTGTTTTTCAGCACTGAGGATTGAACTCAGAGCCTTTGCAAGGAGCTATATCCCCCCGAGCCCTTTTAGAGTTTCTATTTTGAGATAGTCTCACTGACTTGCCAGGCTGGCCCTGAACTCTCCATCTTATTGCCTCAGCCTCCCAGAGTGCTTGGATTACCAGTGTGTACCACCAGTGCCCAGTTTAATCTCTAACTTTTAGGCAAAAATAAAAAAAAACTTGTGAATGGTCCCTGTCTAATTTCACCCAGCTTGATCCCACCTAAAAACTCCTTTCCTGAGATCTTCTCAAATTCCTTCTGTTGTTTGTTCTAGATCCTATCTCGTTCATCTGGGAACAACCTCTCATTCTACTTTAGGATAAAAAGAAATCTGTTTTTTATTTTTAAATCTGTTTTTGCCTTAAAAGCACATCTTTTGTGTACACACACTTACGTACTGAGCCATGCTTTCCTTGTCTTGCCTATACTATTTCCGGCTTCGTTGTTTCTAGTTTTAGCAGCTGCCTGAATTACTTTACTCTCACTAGCACCCACAATAAAGGAGGAAAGGGTTATCGCAGTGCAATTCCAGCCCCTAGCCAGCTGGCTCCAGTATGTGAACGGGGTGGCAGAGGGACCTGGGACAGGCATCTGGGCATCGCATTTCTCAGGAGGCAGAGAGCAACCCACCTCCAGCCAGGTCCCCTAACAGCAGGTGCCCCCTGACCCAGTCACCTTCCACGCACAGGAGAAGGTGGAGGACGTTTGAGATCTAAACCGTTAACAGTGACCATATAGAGATTTTAGTTCTTGAACAAAAGATTTTGGCCCCAATAACCCTTAAGTGCCCAAACCCACCTCAGACATGCACTTCGCCCCATGATGCCCTTTCCCAGATGAGCTTGTGATTTGCCAGTTTCTGTGGACCCCCTTCTAGGCCCGGGTCCTCTTTCTATCATGACTTCTGCTCTTGCCAGTGACCCACTGGCAAGAGACAAAATGATTGTAAGTCTAGTTTAACGACCTTAAGTGGTCTTTTACTCCTGATTATAGAATTGGGGATGGCTCAGAAGCTGAGAAAGTCCAAACAGAGCAGGTTAAACGATCTCCAGGCCTGCAACTTGACCACCCAACATTTCTGACAGAACCTGAAGTGATTACAACTCAGTGCTTTGCCTATCCGAGTCTGCTGCGGACTCCACAGACCGTGCTCAGCGGCAGGGGTCCCCTGAGGCCCAGGCTTTGTACTAAGCTTCGGATTATGTCCTCTGCTTCTTCCTCCCTACCCACCTCTCTCTGCTCTCTCCTCTGTGGCTCTACGATGACTGCCTGTTCTTCAGGGTGGCAAATACAGATGCATCACCTCAGGGCTTCCTGGGATCCATTTACACAAGCAAACAAGGGGAGTCACTCTTTCCTGACAGCACATGCTTTGGGGTTGTCTTCCTGGCAGGGTTGTTGGGGTCACACAACAACCTGGCAGGACGATCCCCGAGGCTAGGAGGATTCTGCTCCCGATTGGCTGGTCTGGTCACATGCTCATCACTTTGGGTGGAAGCAGTCAGTTTTACTTCAGTCCCGTGGATTCCGCTCCCCCCCCCAGCCACTGCCCCCCAGGGGATCTGTAGTCAGAGGAAAGAGTAAGGCATGATGAGCTGACAGAGACTTCAGATGGCCAAGACAGTTTCTTTGATCCTTTTTTCCCAGATTACGAGAATAGTAGTAGGTAGAGGAAATATGTCCATCAAAAATCCTTTAGGAGGGACTGCTGGTGTGCTGGTGAGCAGCTGGCTTACAAGGGGACATCTCTGTGGCCACCAAATATCCATGGATGGCTCTTCTGAGGGTCCAGCGGACAGGAGTAGAGGGCGCCCGTGGGAGAGGCTAAGATTCTGCTGAGCCTCACAAGACTCTGGACTTCAGTAACGGTGACCAGTGGGTGAGCGGGACTCTGGATTGCTCAGGCTAGTGAGAAAGGGGGTTCCCCAGAATGGAGTCTGAAGATGGAGGGAGCCAGCGGGTGTGGGGGGGCTACTTCAAACACCAGTCATAAGTCTTGGGCTCCCTGTACTTCTGATCAACTGGCTATAATTGGGGTCCCAGCAACTCCCTCCTTATGATAGTAATTTGCTTAGAATAGCTCGTGGTACCCTCTTTATGCACCTGTGCCAGTTTCTTAGGAAGAATGCAGTTCAGAAACGGGCAGGTAGAGGGGGATGCTTAAGGGAAACATGGGAAAGAGGAATGGAAATTCCATTCCCCTGGAGACCGGAAGCCAAGAGAGAGCCCTGGGGACAAATACTGTCACTGTTTATGGCCAGCTGTGTTCAACTCCTGCCCATGAGACTCAAATAACACAGCAAAAGCACTTAGAACATCAGAAACGTTTTAGCAGAATAATAATAGCATTTTTTAAAAAGTCAAATCAAGTAGAGGACATAATGAGTCTTCCTGGGCTCCCCTCTTTCCCCTGGCCTCCCTCCCTGGAGGACAACACTTGACCTCTTCTGTCGGGCTCTTGTGTGGTGTCTTCTTTATCGCCTTTTCTTAATGACTTCACTGTGTCACTGTGTCACTGTGGTCGTTATCTCTCGACTCCTTGTTCTTCCGTGAAAATGCAGCTGGGTTGTAGGCGCCTTCCTTCTCTTGCTGGTATAGTTCAGAGCTACCTTCAGTTTCTCTATGAGTTATTGAAACTGAGATCCCTGTATCAACACCGTCCGCTTGATTTCTCATCATGAACTGGAGATTTTTCTTGTCTTTCTTTTTCTTTCTTTCTTTCTTTCTGTCTGTCTGTCTGTCTGTCTGTCTGTCTTTCTTTCTTTCGTCTTTCTTTCTGTCTTTTTGAGACGGGGTGTCTCTATGCAGTTCAGGCTGGCCTTGAGCTCACTTTGTAGCCCAGGCTGGTCTCGAACTCACAACGATCCTCCCATCTCAGCCTTCCGAGTGCTGGAATTACAGGTGTGAGCCACCACACCCAGCTCTTTATCATTTCTTGCTTTGTTAGATGAGGCCTGGCCGCCTGTCCTTTCAGCTGCCCTTTCTCAAAATCTGCCATCAGCTCGGTGACACAGGGATGACTTGGTCTTCACTGTAGTTAAGGATTCAACACGTTACATGTAAACCGATGCTGAAGTCAGTAATTCAGGAACAGCGGGGACGCCATGGGGATGTAAGTAAGTGTGTCAGTCCCTTTGTTTAACAGCTTTCTGTTTTTTCCAGGAATTTCTGACCGGCTTTTTCTTCTTCATGTGGACCATATCTTCGCTGTGTTCCAGTCTTTCTATTCAGCCAGATGTTCTCCTATTCTACCCTTCCTCAGAAACTTCCTGTAGGACCTTCTTCCTCCCACTTGACCTAGACTGCTTACTCTGCGGGCATGTTTCACGGCAGTTCCAGAAATGACCTGGACTCAGGGTACGCTCTGAGCGGTGTCTAAATGTGATAGAATAACTGGGGTGCAGTCTGGAGGCGGCAGTGGATTAGGGGATGTATCAGTTGGTAGGGGGCAAGGGGATATATTTCTCAGGTGCCAAATATGGGCAAAGCTGCCTTGGGATTCTTTTTAAAATTCTTTTCTTTTCTTTTTGAGGCAGGGTTTCATTTCACAGTTCAGGCTGGCTGACTTTGTAGTCAGGCTGACCTCAAACTCACGGGATCCTCCTGCTTCAGCCTCCTGACTGCAGGGATTACAGGTGTGTGCCACCATACCTGGCCTGCCCTCAGATTTTTTAAAATGGTCTTTGCCCAGGAGACTGAACTGGGGGAACCTATCAGAAAAGATCCTTGAAGGGCTGGAGATATAGGTCAGTGGTGTAAGTGCCTGCCTTGCAAGCACAAGGGCTTGAGTTCAATTCCTGGTAACAAAGCAAAACAAAACAAACAAACAAAAAAAAGAAAGAAAGAAGGAAAAGACCCCTGAAACTCGGGAGAGTTTTCAATACCCAATTGGATACACATTGCCTACATCAAGATAATGGTGTATATGGAGACTTGTATTTCCAAGTATCTCAAAAAGACTTCCTATTACAAATTAATTAGTTAATTTTAAATAAGGTTGCTGAAGAAGTATTTTTAGGGCTAGGTAGGTAGCTCAGTGGCATAAGCACCAGCCTGGCAAGGTGCTGAAAAAGCCTTTCCAGGGAAAAAGCAGTAAGCACGCTCCCCCACTCCAGGCATATTGCTACCAGTGGGCAAATGACCAACCATGCAAGACTGTGCCCTCCCCCATTTTCCCCTGGTCCTTACCTTTGGAGGTGGTGATGGAAGGATCTAGAAGATGAAAGAAAAAGTCAAACCCTTCTTAATCTGGGCTTCCAAACCCGGGTCTCATGCTGGGGGAGGGAGCAGCTTCACCTTGCCTAAAAGCTCAGAGTTCTGAATGTTCCAATGAATCAGAGTTTCAGGGTGCTCTATGTGCCTCGAAGAGCTTTCAGAGCAATTGGCTAAACCATGAAATCTGCCCTGGAGTGTTCAAAAGAGAATCTTTATTGAAAGGGTGAGAAGCAAGACAGTTTGGCCTGCTCATACCCTCTGAGTGCAGCCAAGCTGGGCACCCTCAGCATGACTGGGCATGTGTCAGGAGCACCTCGGCACTTCCCACACTGGCTTGGACTCCACACTCCATGCTGTGTGATGTCTGGAGGTGCCGGGCATTGAACAAGGAGAATGGTGTCATTAGGAAGGGCGTTGCTATGGAGTTGCTCCATAGTAGCTCTCCTGGGGAAGCAAAGTAGATGCCCCTGGTGATGTAGCTCATCAGAGGCTCAGAACCTCAGTTTGGGTCATGGGCCAGAGAAATTTCTACAGAGGGCAGAGTGCAAATCATTTAAAGTCTACACAATCTGTGTTGCAATCATTCATTCCTGCTGTTGGGGCACAAAAACAGAGATATCACAGAAATGAATGAGCGTGGCTGGGTTCCTTTGTAACTATTTACAAAAGCAGATGATAGGCCGAGGTTCACTGTGTGCCAACTTTTGGATTAGAAGATGAACTAACTTGCATTTCTGCTACTTCTCTGGTAAGAAACTATAGAAAGAAACAGAGATTTCAGAAGGAAAAAAACTAAAAACAAAAAACCAAACTGTAACAACCAGACCAAAAAAAGAAAGTGAGACACCTCTCTCCTTGGAGACTGATGGTCGTTTTAAAGTTCTGTGTACTGCTGTGTTTTTAGGGGTGTGTGTGTCAGGCTGAGTGTGGCTGGAAGCGGTCCTTGTAGGGTACCAGAGGGCAGCAACTCACTCCCTCACCACTTCCTAGAGTTGTCAAGGAGCTGTCACTGCCTGTCACCAACTTAATGCAGCTTCTCCTGAGTCACCAGGTGGCAAAGACTGCTAGACTGAGGCCTTGTGGAGAAGGCAGAGCAACACCCTGGGTTTCCTCTCTTCCTTGCTTTCCTTGGAAACCCTCAGGCTGCAGGAAGCTCAGCGCTGCTCCCCAAGGGCTGAAGCAGAGGCTCTGACCTCAGACACTGCTGGGAGGGTGACAGTCAAGGGGAGAGAGGGCAGATGGAGTCATGAGGTTCTTTCCCTCACCTTGAAATCACAGGCTGGAGTGACCGAGACCAGCATGGGGCCTACAAGGAAGATGCTTCTGGTGATACATGTATCACCTGATGCTGAGTTATTGGCCATACAGACAGAGAACACCTGCAACAGAAATACACAAAGGCAGAAGAGCAGTTTTGGCAACAGGAGGTTGTGAAAGAAGAAACAAGAAGAAATAGCAGACATAAAACAACAGGCTGGGGAATGTAGCTCAATGGCAAAATGCCTGCCTGGCAAGTGTGAGGTTGTGAGTTCAATTCCCATTCCCCACAAAATAAGATATAAAACAATAATTGAAGACGGAAGAGGGGCTGGGGGTGTAGCTCAGCAGCACAGTGCCTGCCTGGCAAGCGCAAGGTCATGAGTTTGATTCCTAGTACCAAAAAAAAAAAGAAAAGAAAAGCTAAGTAGCAGACGAGATGAATCATGTGACGCATGAAACTGAAGGATGTGGGACTGGGAGGGGAACATGCCTGAGGCCCCAGCTCCTCCGGAGACTGAGGTGGAAGAGTGAATCAGAAGGAATTAGGCCCAGCACTTTGGGGCCAGCCTGGACAACACAGTGAGACCTAATCTTAAAAACAATTAGTTAAATTACACTCAGTTACATTAAAATTTTTCAGAAACTTGCTTAAAACTGCAGGATGAAATGGCGAGTGGAAATAACCATTTGAAATGATCAGAAAAAAATAAACCAGAAGAAATATCAGTGACAGTGGAGTGACAGGAAGATACAAAAAGAGGCCTATTTCCAGAGAAAGCCTCTGAAAGAAACAATAAAGATGGTGAATAGCAGATCTTGGAAGAAAGACTAAGGAATGATGATCAAAAAGCCAAAAGGACTTAGAGCACCAAACCAGAGATAATTTGCGTGATGGTTAGTATACAAATTCACATAATACAGAGTCAATATTAAAAAACTGGTTGTACTGAGCTATATCCCTGGCCCTATTCTTTTTATTCTTCTAGGAGTAAAAATCAACATGAAATTTAAAATATATGATTTATAATCCAAGCATGGTGGCACATTCCTATATTTCAGCACTTAGCAGGCTGAGGCAGGAGAATCGCCAGGAGTTCAAGCCTAGCCTATCTACATAATGAGACCCCCGTCTCAAAACAATCAAACAATCCCCCCCTAATATACCATTTTTTTTAAATCTTTTTCATTTTTATCGGTACCAGGGATCGAACTCATGACTGCCTGCTTGCAAGACAGGCGTTTATGCCACTGAGCCAAATCCCCAGCCCCCCAATATACCATTTTAATAACATCAAAACTATGATGTACTTAGAGAGAAATTTAATGAAATATATGCAAGATCTGTATTCTGAAAAAGTATAAAACATTGCTGAGATAAAATAAAGGAGATTTAGATAAATGGAGAAAGGTACCTGTACTGTTAAGACGTAAAAATTCCCTAAATCATATTAAAGATGAAATACAATTCCAGTCAGAATTCCAAACTGATTCCAAAATTTACATGGAACAGTAAAAGAATTAGGGTAGAATAAAAAGAATAGGGCTGGGGATATGGCTCACTGGCACAGCATCTACCTGGCAAGCACAAGGTCATGAGTTCAATTCCCAGTATCAAAAAAACCCCACTGGACATTTAGCTCAGCGCCATAAGTGCCTGCCTTGGAAGCAGGCAGTCATGAAAAAGCAAAAACAAAACAAAACAAAACAAAACAAAAAAAAACTAAAATAAAGTTAAAAGACACTCATTACTCATTTTTAAGACATTATAAAACTACAGAAATAAATATAATGTGGTGTTGATGAAAGAATATATTCAGTATAATATATATATTCAGTATAATGGAATATAGGGTCTAAAAGTAGACAGACATATATACAGTCGACTGAGTTTTTAAAAGGCTACAAAGATAAGTTAATGAAGACAGAACAGTCTTTTCAACAAATCACACTGGAACAGCTGGGTATCATTATGCCAACATGTGACTCTCAACCTGTATCTTGGCTCATAAGTTGTGCTAGCTTTCATTCACTATAACAAAATACTTGGGATAATCACGTTATAAGAAGAGGTTTATTTTGCTTATGGTTTTGTAACGTCCAGGCCATGATTGTTGGCCCTGTTGTTTTGGGCCTGTAGGAAGCCAGCACATCACAGCAGGAGTACATGGGAGGCAAAAGCACTCACCTCATAACCAGGAAACAACAGAAACAGGAAGAGATGGGGATCCCAACATCCCCTTCAGGGGCAAATCCCCAGTGGTCTACAGGTTCCAGATAAGCCACACCTCCTAAGCAGTCTACCACCTCCCAATGGCGCCACCCTGTGAGAAAACCTTAAACACATGGGCCTTTGAGGACATTCAGTGTCCAAACTATAGCATGCATAAAATTATAAAGAGTTAGGTTGGGTGTTTAGCTCAGCAGTGTAAGTGCCTACTTTGCAAACTCAAGGTCATGAGTTCAATCCCCAGCACCCAAAAAAAAAAAAAAAAAAGCATTCAAAAGACTCATAGACACAAGTGCAAACTCCCAAAAATGTCTGGGAAAATCTATAAAACAAATGTTTTTTTTTTTTTCTTAGAGTAAGTGAAGATATCTTACATATAACCAAAAACAGTATCAATAAAATTTTAAAATGGATACGTAATATTGCATTGAGTCTCTTTTCTTTCTGTTGCTCTAACAGATTACCTGGAGCTGAATACTGTATAAAGAAACTAAGGTTCAGTTAGTTCAGTTTTGGAAGCAGAACATCTAAGATCAGATGGTTCAGGTGATTTGATCTCCAATGGGAGCTTCATGGTATATGGAGAAGACATCACACCGGCAGACCGGAAGCCAGAGAGATTCAGCAGCGAGAGTAGCATTGCAATACTGGCACAGGAGGAACCCCCCAGCGCCTGAAGCTGTGGGGAGGATCAGATTTTATCCCTCTATCTGCAGGCCAGCCGACAACAGAGTGAATAGCAGCAAATAGCTAAAGGGCGAACTTGGTACACATAGGCTTCAAGGTGGGATGAAATTTTAAGGAACCTCAAGAAATCTGGATAAAATGTTTGAGTTTAAGGCTGTAGGGGTCATCAGTGCAGGCTGGTACACAGAGCTGGCAGCAGGGGACTGCAGGGTGACCTTAGCCCTGCACTCAACGTTTTATTGCCCTTGCCTCTTGCTATCAGGGGCAAGCTGCTGCCAGTAATGGAAAGTCCATTGTTTGTAGTGGGCAGCTCAGTGTCTCTCTCAGGTCACTCTCAGCGCAGTCCTGACAAGAGTCTATTTATTTGTTTGTTTGAGACAGGGTCTCACTGTAGAGTCCAGGCTGGCCTCAAACTCACAGCAGTCCTCCTGCCTCAGCCTCCTAAGTGTTGGGATTACAGGCATGCACTACCATGCCCAGCTCAAGGTTGGATTTTTTAAACCATCTGTTCATGCAAGAACTAACTGGAACTATATTAATTCTTTCCAAGAGCAAGGATCCCAATGACCCAATCACCTTCTACCACTCTCCACCTTCACAGGTTCCACCACTTCCCTACACACTGAGGCCCTACCCCAGCATGTGAACCCTTGGGAGACACACTTAGCCCATACGCAACTCAGAGCATTAATCAAAGTTTCAAGGTCTTTGTATTTAAAAAAAAAAACGTGAAGGAAATGAGAATACAAGCTGAAGGCGTTACCAAACTCAGATTAGATCAAGGATTTCTAGCGAGAATATATGAAAAATTCTCAAAACTGCAGAAAAAAACATAGAATCAAGTTAAAAATGGACAAAACTTTTGACCTGACATTTTAGCAAAGAAGTTATTACTGATGGCAAATAAACACATGAGAAGATGCTCAGTGACCTTAATCCTTAGGGAAATGAGTTAAAGTGATGATAACAAACCCCAGGAGGCAAAGTCACAGCAGGTATCAGACCTTGGAACTTGAAAGGAGTTTCTCCTTAACCCTTCGGTGGCTGAACTGAAGTCTCTCCTGCCCTGGGACCAACCGAGAGCCAGGGGAGAGGCGGTTCCAGAACCGAAGCATGAGGAGAACAGAAGGATAAACTAACTAACCTCCCGGGGCCTGAGATGAGGAGAAGGTAGGGGAAGAAGGAAATGAGGAAGAGGAGAAAGAGGAGGAGGAAAAGCAAGAAAACAAGGACTAAGCAAAAAAGGGAAAGCCCTCCCCCAGCAACTCCTTGAGAGTTTATGACTGTCATTTGCTTTTATGGAGAATAGCATGTCAGATCCATGCGGCTTTGCTTTTATTATCTTTGGACTTCTCTGCTCGCTATTTGTTTGGGGGCTGGAGGGGAGAGACTGAGGCACAGAGGAAAGCCCAGACCGTGTTCCACTCTTGCCCCAACACAGGCCCTCGCCCCTGCTCCCACCGCCTGAGTCCTTCCTGGGCTTGGACCCGGCCTCCTCACCTCTCTCTGCCCCTGGCCACCAGGCTCCCTGAGAAACCGCCCCGTTTCTCTGATATTTATTTCAAAGTGCAAAGAGGATGCTTGCCTTTGTTTTTATGCTAGGATTAGTGCACTCAGTTTATTTTTTAGAAAAAGGAAAGAAAGAAAAAATGAGGAGAGAAAGGAAAAAGAAGGGGAGAAATGAAAAGAAATGAGGAAGAGAGAGCAAAGACCATGCCCTCTCCTCGGTGCCCCCCTCCCGTTTAGAAAGCCCCATTGACTTTCTCTAGGAAGCTGCAGAAACCTTCCCCCTCTCTAGGGGTGAATGGGGCCTGCTGTCGCCTACCTAGCCATCCCGTGGTCACTGGGGCCCACGCGCCTTTCTCTGCCTTTACTTTTGCTGTTTTTGCTGTTTGCTGTTTGCTTTCTGTTCTTTTGGGCCCGGCTTCCTCTGAGCTGTGTTAGTGTTAGCGCTCAGAAATCACCATAATCACAAAAATAATAACAATAATGATAATACTAATACTGCAATAATCCTGGAAAAGAAAAAGAAAAAATTTTAATTCCTGCTATAGGAGAAGAAAAGAGAAAAAAATTTAAAAAGAAAAAAAAAAACAGGAAGAGAATGAAACCTCCAAAGTATTTTATCACTACTTATAGGAAGAAATCCTGCTTTGAGAGTATTTGTAACGCGATTTTGTTGTCGTTTGTTGCTGCTTATTTCACTAAGAAAAACCCAACAGGTGAGACTGCCGAGCCCAGCCTGCTCGTCCTGAACTTTAATCCTAGTAGAGTGGAACCAAATTGCACTGAATGTATAGTTAACTCTGTCTTGAATTCTCTGTTTATGCAATGTGCTTGAAAGAAAAAATGTTAAAACTGTATCTATAATAATAATTTTTGATCATTTGTCTTTATGTCTGGCTGTGAATGTAGATTTTGTGTCCTGACAGCCCTGTTTCTGGTCCAAGTACTTTCTACTATAAACGTGAGTCATAATAAAAAGAAAAAAAGAGAGAGAAAGAGAAAAAAAGAAATGTAAAGTGGTAAGACTGTTACGGCAAAATGGACCAAATGGAGGAAGAGACGGTGCTGAGAGGGTACAGGAGACAGCGATTTCATTACACCAGTGGGCCTGACTGGGGTCACTCCAAGTGGGGCTTGGGGGCTTTTTTAGGGAAAGCAAGCAGGAGAAACAAAAGTAGATTTGGCATATCATGATTGGAGGGTTGGGTGACATCATAGGTTGCAGAGGAAGTTTAAACATGTCAAGTTGCATTGCCAGGTCATCAATTAAACAAGCATGGGTGACACAAAGGAAGAAATGTTTTGCTATCAGGTTTGTCTTGGACACATCTGCTCGGTTTAGTAGGTATTCTTGGTGGGCTTTTATTTAAAATTTTAATTTCCCTTTCAAGATCACTTTGGCATCATTTTAGAAAGTTACACACAGACACACTCACACTCACACACACACACACACACACACGCCCTATATTGAAACATTCACTCACATTATGACTTCACATCCTTTTCCTAGGCATCTGTCTAAGCTAGCAAGAAGTTTTGTTTATGCAATTTGTATAAAATAATTCGAGGCAGCTTTCTGGGCAGCTTCCATGAGATTTCAGTCAAGGTAGCATGACTCAGCAGAAAAATGCACAGAGTCATTAACACTCCAGAGGCACGGGTGAGTCTCGGATGTGTGACCTGAGAGAAAGTGAGCCTCCCAAATGCTGCACACTATGCGGGTACGATTCTATCTCCATGACACTCAGAAAGGGGGGGAACTCTTGAAGAGTGAGCAGTCGAATGTGGCCAGGGCTAGAGGGCGGAGGGGCTGGCCACATAGGCATGAGGGAACTTACTAGGGTGATGGAAATGTTTTTTGTCTTGACTGTAATAATGGTTTTTGGCAACCTCATAAAATCCCTTAAATGCAAAAGACTAAATTTTGCTAAATGTAAATCATACTTCAGTATCACAAAACACATCACAAAACACATCAACTGAGATACCAGAGGACTGACTTTATGATTGCATTTATGTGGAATTCAGGAAGCAGCCAAAGGATGGATAATACAGCTATGTAGAGAAACGCTGCCTCAAAATAAAAAATTAAAAAGAGCTCAGTGTAGCTCAGCGTGAAGGTCTTGGGTTCAGTTCCCAGTACCGCACACAAAATTTTCTTCAATAAATCTATATAACATTGTTATAGATGGATAACAATCCACAAATAATTTTAAAAATTAAAGAAAAATTAGAAAGAGAGGAAGAAGAGAAGGAAGATCCTGAAGGGTGCGCTTTGCCCTCAGAGAGTTATAAAACCAGAGACTAATAAAAGTTGTGTCCTTGGCATAGAAGCAATGGATGCTAGAGACAGAGGCCAGGAGGCAGAGTCAGGCGTGGGTGCGGAAGTAACACCCATGCAATCAGGTGGTGGTGTTGGAGAAGACGTGGAAAAAAATAAAACTGAATTTTCCCTAAAGGCACATGCCGGAGGGGCCTCTGCATAGAGTCATGCTATAGATGTGAAACAGAGGCTGTGTGGGAGGATACGGAGATCCAGGGCTAAAGAAAAACTTCAAGGTTCAAAACCAACATGTAACTATCAACCCTGACTTCCTGGAAGGAGAAAAAGAATTGAGAACCTCAGTCCCTTTGATTAGGCTAAAATGATGGACGTTTTTAAAAATGAAAGATACCTTGTGCAAAGTTAAGCGGTAGTTAGCAGAAGAGAAAAAGTGTTTGTAATGTCCAAAGCCAAAAAGGTTTAGAATCTTGTAGATACTATAAGAAGATATTCTGTAAACCAACAGAAAGTAACCTGAGCCAGGTATGGTGGTGCATGCCTGTAATCCCATCACTTGGGAGGCTGAGGCAGGAGGATCATTGGGAGTTTGATGCAGCCTGGGCTACAAAGTGAGTTCAAGCCAGCCTAAACTGCACAGTGAGACCTTGTTTCAAAACAAACTGAAAGAAAGGAAAAAAAGGAGAAGAAGAGGAGGAAGAGAAAAAAGAAGAAAAAAGAAGGAGGGTCACCTGGTTCTGCTATGCACATTGAGTGTCTGCATACCCGGGGTGCAGGTGGCCTGGAGTGACATGTGGGACAGAAGGAATTTGGAAATGAACGCAAGGGATTAAGAGGGGTCCCTGTCCAGACCGGCCATGCAGAGGACTAGCAACTGAGGAGCTGCTGACATCACAGCTGCCATCTCTTACACGTTTCAGAAGGGGCCAGGGCAGTGCTGTGTGGGCAAGGAGGGACAGACAAGTTTTAAGACCCATGCAAATACCTCACGGTCCATTGGGCACAAGGACACAGGTGGAGCTGGGAAATGTTCCTGCTTATCCTAGTGCAAACACGGAGGCTGAGTTCATTTGAAATGACCAGAGTGGGTGAGGTGAGAGGAGAACAGGGTGAGGTGAGAGGAGAACAGCTAGGACAGCAGCAGCAGGGTTGGTGGCAGGGACAGGGGGCAGCTGTGGTCTCCTCCCCTCCTGTTTTAATATCCAGACTCAGGCCCCAGCTTACATAGGAAAGACTCCCAATAAGGCAGGACAAGTAGCCACAGCCAGAGGACAATCTGGGGTCCGGATACTCCTGACCCAGAGCAAAGAGTCTCTGTGCGGCCTAGTGAGAGTCGTCCCCTCATTCCCCCTGTCCGCCTTGCGCGCGTGCGTGTGTGCGTGCGTGTGTTTGTGTGTGTGTGTGTGTGACATAAATCCAAGAAACTTTGAATAGTTTTGCATGAGTGCGTGTTTGTGCAAGACAGTGAGTTTGTGAAAGGGTCGCGTGAGTGTGCAGGGCAGTGTGTGTTTGGGAAGCGGGTGTTATTTTTGAAAGCTCTACTGCACTTCTGAAGCCTGACAGGGAAATCTGGGTCCCTCTAAAAGGCGGAAGACGCGGGAACTGGTGTCGCGGCTGGGGGGAGGTGGCCAGGGTGATGACTCAGCATCTGGGGCGGAGCGGGGTGGGACACTCTTTTATAAAACCCCGCGGCCCGAGGCCTCCATCTGCGCTACGCCCTTCTCCGAGGTCTACGTTGCAGTGTGCAGAGTCGGAGCCGCCGTCTACGCCGCAGCAAGCAGTGAGTCCGCGCCGCAGGGCCTCCGAGGGCTCCCCGGGCGCGGTGCCCGGGCTCCTTGGGGACCCGGAGCTGCCACGAGGGGCAGGCCGCCTGCAGCGTTGGGACGGCGATTGGGAACCCTGGGCGGAGTTGGGGGCCTCCGGGCGCCCAGAGCGCGCACACCCGGGCCTGGACCCCAGCGCGGGCGAGTTCGCTGCACCCTGGTCCTGCTCTCCAGACTCTAACGACCTTCACCTTTCCCCTCTAGTGGCGCCCTACACCATTGTGTACTTCCCAGTTCGAGGTAGGAGCCTGTGCCTGCAGGGAGGGAGGCAAAGGCCTGCGGGGCTGCAGCCCTCGCTACCCCGTTTACCTGGGTGAGGGACCCAGCCCAGTCTTAACCCTCCCTGACTACAATCCCAGGCCTCCTCCTTTGCTGGTCCGAGTCACCTGGTCATCACGAGGCTTTGTTCCCTTGTCCCCTCCCCTCACCACGCTCCCCTTGCTGGGTTGCTCTGAGGCTGGGTCTTGAGTGTTCCCACACTCGCCCCGCCCCCACACCCAGGACGCTGTGAGGCCATACGCATGCTGCTGGCTGACCAGGGCCAGACCTGGAAGGAGGAGGTGGTGACCATGGAGTCCTGGATGCAGGGCAAGCTCAAAGCTTCCTGTGTGAGTGCCTGCACCCTGGTGGGGGAGGGTCAGGCCTTAGGGGACGGTGATTAGGGTTGGGCCAGCCCATCTCTCCTCCTTCACATGGTTGAACCTCCCCTTCCCTACAGCTGTATGGGCAACTCCCCAAGTTCCTGGATGGAGACCTCACCCTGTACCAGTCCAACGCCATCCTGCGCCACCTGGGCCGCTCCCTGGGTGAGTCCAGAGGCCCTGGGCAGTTCAGGCAGGGGGTGGGCATTGGCCATCAGGCCACGGAGCAGGCCTGGTCCTCTGTCCTTCCCTATGCCAGGCCAGACAGCCTCTCTGGAGTTCTGAGTACCTTCTGTGTATTAGGTGCCCCCTCCCATCTGTCCACTCCCCTGCTGCTTCTCCCAGGCTTGTGGCCCCAGCAGCCACATGCCTAGGTGGGGGATGCTAGATCAGGTTCCTGTCATGCACTGTCTGTTCTCTTGACCCTCAGGACTTTATGGGAAGGACCAGAGGGAAGCAGCCCTGGTGGATATGGTGAATGACGGCGTGGAGGACCTCCGCTGCAAATATGCTACCCTCATCTACACTAAATACGTAAGCCTGGGAGAGAGGGGCACTCTGGTGGTGAATGGAGGAAGGGGCTCTTATACCCTCATCTCCGGCCCACACATTGCTCTGGCTGACCCCTTCCTTGGTTAGGGTGTTACAGCCGAGGGACAGGTTCCAGCACCAGGTGGCTCCCAAGGAGGGGGGATCTGTACCAGTTTCTGGAAGGAGGTGCTGATAATTTCAGATAGGCAGTGGGTGCAGATCTGAGCTCACCTGGGGACCCGGGGCCGACTAGCAGGGGCAGACTGTTTATGTGCTTTTGTGTGCATATATATGTGTGACTGTGGGTGGGGGGAGGCTAGATCCTCAAGGTCTTGAACCTTCTTGTGTGAACTTTTCCCGAAGGCCATGGGGGCCACTGAGGAGACTGAACAAGGCTGTGTCTGGAAGGGTCCTCAGTGGAGCCAGCTCTGAGGTTTTTGCAGTAATCTTTAGGAGATCCTAGCAGGCATGGCCAGGTGGAATGGGTGGGAAAGCTAAGTGGTTCACGTGGGCAGGGCTTGCTTATGGGGTGGGTGTGGTGGGGGAGCAGAGGAGCATTTGGGGCTCCTGAGGTCTCCAAGGTGGGCTACAGAACAGGGGGTGGCCCACGTGGATCAGGGGCTCGTGCTGGGAGGGTGAGAGGAGAATGCCCAGCCTTGGCATCCTTCCTGCAGGAGGAGGGCAAGAGTGACTATGTGAAGGCCCTGCCTGGGCATCTGAAGCCTTTTGAGACTCTGCTGTCCCAGAGCCAGGGGGGCAAGGCTTTCATCATGGGTGACCAGGTGAGTCTCCCTCTCCTGGGTCTTTCCTTGCCATCTTCTCTTCATAACTGGGGACAGATGGGAGTCATTCCTATGGCAAAGTAGGACACACCTAGGGGGTGGGCTCAGCTCCCTGCCCAGACCCCTACCCCAGCCCACTGACATCTTGACGCCTACCCTGCAGATCTCCTTCGCAGACTACAACCTGCTCGACTTGCTGCTAATCCACCAAGTCCTGGCCCCCAGCTGCCTGGATGACTTTCCCCTGCTCTCGGCCTACGTGGCACGCCTCACTGCCCGGCCCAAGCTCAAGGCCTTCCTGGCCTCCTCAGACCATGTGAACCGGCCCATTAACGGGAACGGCAAGCAGTGAAGTCTCATGGGGCTCCTGGAAGAGCCAGGACTTCTCACCTTTCTTTTCTCAGCACCAATAAATTTTCTAAGACCAAAGCTGGGCTGTGAGCACTGTGTTTCCAGAGAGGAACTCAGGGACCTCACACGATGGGCTGGGGAGAGAGGAGCAGAGGATGCACCCAGAGACACAATGTTCTTCCGAAGCCCTTGGAGAAGTTTCCTGAACTTTAGAAATAGGAAAAGAATGGGAGGAAGGAAGATGGGGAGAAAGAAGAGGAGAAATCACTTGAGGTCACTGCCCTAGAGGAGCCTAGTCTGGTGAGGGAGGAAGCCTGTACTAGGCCTAGCTGGCATCCAGCAGCAGAAGGGGCACCGGGCTGACAGGTGAGAGGGGTCGCATCCCATCCTGGGAGCTGAGCAGCTCCAGTCCATGCTGGGCCAGTGAGGCTCACCCTGCTGTTCAGCCAAGTTAGGGTTTTTGGTTCATCCTGGTTGCACCAACCACACTGGTGTATTTGTTGGAATTTTCCAGAGAAACCAAACCAAACCAGAGGCAAAATTTCACCTCTGACCTTTCAGAGATGTTGATTTATGTTTTGTGTTTTTTGTTTTGGTTAGTCCTGAGAATTACATTGTGAGATATCAAAGGAAAAAAAATTGAAATTTAGTGCAGCCTCAACATGGCAAGGAACCTTCAGAAGAAAATAAAGACCCCGCAATGCAGTTAGTATCGAACATCTGTAACTGGGACACAGCAAAATATGGTGTAGAGAGACAAAGCCAAGGGGCTGGGGCTGGGATAAATTACTGTTACTGTGGCAGAGAAGGGACGAGGAGGATGAGGGGGTAGTTCAGCAAGCTCTTGGCACAGGTTCCCCCTCCTGTCTTCAGTTTTCTGTGGTGGTACCAGAACACCTGAGCTGGGTAATTTATAAAGGGAAGAGGTTTATTTTGGTTCATTGCTCTGGAATTATAGAAGCATAGCATTACAATCTGTTTTGCTTCTACTGGGAATTTCATGACAAAAAGGGCACACAGGATCCTGTGGAAGGAGGCATGTGTGCCAGAGAAAGGGACCTCGTGATAACTGCCCCACCCCACTTTCCCACAAGACAAGCATTAATCCATTCATGAGGGTTCTGGCCCAGGGATCTAATACCCTTCAGGGCCCCAGGATATGTTGGCAATTAAATTTAAATGTGCGTTTTGGTGAAAAACAAAAAACAAAAAAAACCATGTTTAAGCCATAACAGCTTCATAAGGAAATTTCATCCTTTGCTTTTAAGAAGAAAGGACAGAATGACCTTCCATTTGCTATTTTTAAAAAATTTTTATTTAAAGAGAAAAAAAGGAAAACAGAAAAAGGGTAGAAGTAATACAGAATTTTAAAAAAACACTTAAGAAATCACCAGTTGATAAATTACATACTGTCATCTTAGAAATAGTTGTTCAAATTGCAAAATTAAAGCATACAAAGTGGACATTCAAACAGTGAGACTGCAAACAGTTGTACTCAATGATCCAACAAAAACTTAGTAATATGGTTATCTATCTTACACACTTAAACATACATGCAGTTATATCCTTTAGAGCACTTTCTTTTCCTTTTTTACAATAGCAATTACACATTTTGGATTTTATTACTCTTAGATTTCTTATTAGTTTTTACCCTAGAGATACAATGTGATATTTATAAATATGATTCTTATTTATTTCGCTTATGAGGATAGTCTCCAGTTGCTTCCATTTACCTATGAAGGCCTCAAGATCATCCTTTTTATAGCTGAGTAATATTTCATTGTACAAAAATACCACATCTTTTTCATCCACTCTGCAGTTGATGGGCATTTTGGTTGTTTCCAAGATTTAGCTATTATAAATTGTGCGGCTATCCATTTGCTGTTTCTCCAGTGTCTTTAACTCAAGTATTAATAAGCCACAGTGGCATCTTTTGGGGTGGCACACCCAGAACTTCATTTTCTCCATTCAAAATTTTCCTAAGAAGTTTTACATATGAAAATTTGAGTCCTTGGCTGCAGAGTGAAGAGTTTAGTAGCTGGTAACTACAAAGAGAAAAACACAGATTCCAATGGGGATGAAAGAGAGAGAAAACAAAAAACCCCAGCACATTTCTCCTAAGGGGAAATCCTTCAAAGTCACCCACAGGGATGGTCTCCCAGGTGGCTGGAGAGCTCCTCTGGGTGGAGCTATCAACCTAGGTATCTGAGTTGGTGTGGGCTGTGTAGGTCCAAGAGGGGTTTTCTTTGATTCTGATGATACGGAGGTGCACAGCAGCCCTTTTATGTGGTCTTTCCAACTCCATAGTGTGTGTGTGTGTGTGTGTGTGTGTGTGTGTGTGTGTGTGTGTGTGTATGCGTGTATGCGCGCTATGCGTGTTATGGTTTACATGTCTCCACATATATCATGCTCTCATAGGTGGGATTTTGGGGAGGTGATTGAGTCGTAGAGGTACGATACCCATCAGTGGATTAGTTCACTGACGATGTTGGGAGGTGAAGCCTGGTGGGAACAGGTGGTCACTGGCCTGGCCTGAAAAGATTGTATCTTTCTCCTCCCTCTTGATCCCTCTCTGCTTCCTGCCCGCCCTGCCATGGCTGGCTCCCCTCCTCTATGCCACCTGACTGTGAGCCTGCCAACTATGGACTGAAACTTCTACAAAGTGGAGGCCAAATAAACTTCTCCTTCTCTAATTTGTGAGTGTGGGATATTTTGTCCTAGCAATGAGAAAATATCTAAGACAGTGCGGTTTTTCTCAAAATCCTTGATGGACCCATCTCCTAGTTGAAAAGAGGTGTTAAGGAAAATCAGCAGAGGCCTTTTGTTTTTTTGTTTTTACTGTAGGCAGTATGTTCCAAGAATACCATCCAGAGCCTGATGTGGTGGAATAGCCCTGTAATTCCTGTACTCTGGGAGGCTGAAGCAGAAGGGTCACAAGTCCAAGCTAGCTTGGACAACTTAGTGACTTAATGTCTCAAAACAGGAAGATGAAGGAAGAAAAAGGCTGGGGATGTAGCTCAGCACAAGAGGTTCAATCCCCAGTCCTGAAAAAGAAAAAGGAAGGGTTAATCTGTGTGTGTGTGTGTGTGTGTGTGTGTGTGTGTGTGTTTATGGATAGTCATACGGTCCAAGGGTATTGCTTCTGGCCACTCAAGTCCAGCTTCTTGACTGATTTTTTTCTGAAGTCCTTTTTATGTCTCAATCTTTATACTCCATTTTCCCAAAGGCCTGGGGATGGTATGGGGCATGCAACACTGATGAGTACTCACAGTCTTTGGGAGCAAGTGGCTTATTTCTTTCTTTCTTTCTTTCTTTTTTTTTTTTTTGTGAATTTGTACTTTTATTTAAAAGTGGTTTATTTCTGCTGTAGATGCATTCCTTGGTCTGATTTAAAAGAAGGCCCTAATAAGGAACAGTGACCGTCATTAATCTTTATAGCTGTTACCAGTCTGCCTGACCTGGTGGCCTTCAGTCCATCCACTAAACACAGGGACAACCACAGGTAGTGGGAAGAGACTGAAACTGGAGACAAAGCTATTTTGGGAGACTTTAAAGGGCACTATGGGCCCTGGAGGACATTTCGAGGCAAGTTAGTTTTCTCCAGAATTGGTGACATTTATTAGTAGTGTATTGGGAAATAATTTGGCCAGAAATTTTGTGGATGGCAGCACAGAACCAATTTAGCTTCCTGTAAGTATGCATGTGCATACACACACGCATTAGCAGTTACACACACACATACATGTGCTTGTGTGTGTGTTATAGGGATGAAACCCAGGGCCTTTCCACTAAGCTACATCCTGGCTTTTTATTTCTTATATTTGAGACAAACTCTCATTAAGTTGCCCAGGCAATTTGAGATCTTCCTGCTTCAGCCTTGAAAGGTACAGGGGTTACAGGTGTGCACCACCTCACCTGATCCTTTTTAGCTCTTTAACTACCCTCCAGCTTCCCATTGGCCCCATCTGATGAGAGGTAAGTGCAAACCAAGAAGTCATAAAAAAAGAGGGGGCTGGGGATTTAGCTCAGCGGCATAAGGGCCTTCCTTGCAAGTGTGCGGTGGTGAGTTCAATCCCTGGTACCAATTAAAAAAACGAAAAAGACAAAAAAAAAAAAAAAAAAAAAAAAAGAAGAGAGGGGCCACAGGCAGTCCCTTTGACAGCTATGTGGCACTTCTTTGTTTCTCTTATTTTCAGACCCTGAAGCATTTATCTGATAATCGATACTATCAGTCAGAGATAAAGACGTTTTATAAACTGAGTGGAAAAGTGATGTCTCCTACATTGTTAATTAATTTTCAAACACATGCATTTGGTAGACACATTCAGGCCACAGCAGTTAAACAAGGTTAACAATTACATGTCCACTGGCAATGGGAGGGCCAGTAGGAGGTAAAGAATCTATGAGACTTCCATACTGTGTCAACACCACGGCAAACTCCAAATGCATTAAGATAGTCAGTGCAAACAGTGCCAATTCCTCCTTTTTCCAGCGTGCAGCTCTAGTAAATGCTGTGAGTTATGCAGATTGGGATGATTTTAGAGTAGGCAGAGAATATGCTTCCAGTGTTTCACGAGGGGAGAATATGGCACAGTCAGATTATGTTTCCGGGCAAGTTCACCCTCAGGGACTGTTACAATTTAGAAGTAAATCTGTGTTGTTCATAAGTGTATCTAAGAGGTCCTAAAAGGCACTCTGAGGCTTTGAAGCTATGTCTATAGTTGCAAAGCAACCATGTGGAGTGAAGGGGGTGGGTTCTGCCCCATGAAAGGGAGCTCTACAGCAGTGATTGTAATAGTTACAACGATGCAAGATGATGGACCTGTGGTTAACGGGCTGTTCATGCTTGAGCTGTCATTGTGAGTAATCCTGTGTCTTACGATCTCGGAAGAGAGCTAACACAGCACTAGAGAAGTGTTAAAAACATCCCAAATGAGAAGCCACTAGTCTGGGTGACTCTCACGCTTTATATTCCTACAGTAATAAATTCCTTCCTTGCTCAGTGTAAACAATTCAATGAGACTAGAAACTACCAATCAGAAATGGACCACTAACCAGAGGCTTTCCACTCTGACCAA